CGTGCCTTGCGGTGCCATTCCATGGTGCCACACCCTGACGTCCCCCTCTGCAGGCACCACCTGGATGCAGGAGATCCTGACGCTGCTCTTCAGCCTTGGAGATGCCCGCCCAGCCAAGACCATTCCCAACTGGGAGCGGGCGCCCTGGCTGGAGCAGATCTACTGCCGGGAGGCTCTGCGGGACACCGGGACCCGCCGGCTCCTCACCACCCACCTGCCCGCCCGCGTCCTGGCCCCCGCCCTGCAGCGCAGCAAGGCCAAGGTGCGAGGGGTCCCCGGCGGTCTGGGGGGTCCCTGCAGGGACATCCCACACCCAGCGGGCTTCCCACAGCCGGGGAAACGCTGGGGGCTTTCTGAGCGGGGCAGAGAGGAATCCCCCCGCTGTGGGGGTGACACTGTGTCCCCCCCAGGTGATCTACGTGGCCAGGAACCCCAAAGACGTCGCTGTCTCCTTCTACCACTTCCACCACCTGGCCAAGTTCCTGCCCGACCCCAGCTCCTTCGATGCCTTCCTGAAGCAGTTCCTCGAGGGCACAGGTAGGGACTGGGGGAATCTGGGGGGGGGGACTCAGCCTCAGGGCCCCCCATTACCCCCCACCTCCCCCCAGTGCACTACGGCTCCTGGTTTGACCACGTCAAGGGCTGGCTGGGCCAGCGGCACCTCCTGGACATCCTGTACGTCACCTACGAGGAGCTGCACCAGGTGAGCCCCCTGGGTCCCCGTCCTTGTCCCCGTCCCCGCCGGTGCCCGGCGCTGACCGTGCTCCTGGCGCAGGACCTGCGTGGCACGGCGCAGCGCCTCAGCGGCTTCCTGGGCTGCCCGCTGGCACCGGCCACGCTGGCAGCCCTGCAGCAGCACTGCAGCTTCTCCGCCATGAGGGACAACGCCATGGCCAACTACTCCCTGATCCCCGCCGAGATCATGGACCACAGCCAGGGCTGCTTCATGCGCAAAGGTGAGGGGGAATTGGGCTGGGGGACGCGGGGGGCGCGGCTGCAGGGACCCTCACGCCCTGTCCCCTCCGTCCCACAGGGGTGGTGGGGGACTGGCGCAGCCACTTCTCCCCCGAGCAAAACGCCCTCTTCAACCGGCGCTACCAGGAGGAGATGGGGGATGTGGAGCTGCCCTCGCAG